TTTTTTTAGAGAGTTGGAGGAGTTGAAAAATTCAAGGTTATTCTGTATGTCATATTAAGAAATTCCAGTGGCAGTTAATTGGTTCTCATGATTTATGAAGTGTAGAAGTGGGAAGAGAGAAGGTGGATTGTGTGTAACGTGCGAAATTCACTTGGGAAATTGCCTTTGACATGCCAGATCTGTTTCTAAATAAATCAATTGGAGAGAAATGTCTCAGAATGATTGATATCATGGATACTTTCTGGATGCCTTACATTTATTTCCCAAGTCAAACTTCTATTTTTTGAAGAGGCTTGGCTGATACCTCGGAGTTCTTTTTCCTGAGATGGAAAATTATCAATAATCATCTGAAGTTTGAGAGATGCAGGGGGGAGAGTATGGGGGCCCTCCCTCCGGAACATTAATTGAATCTGCAAGCCTTTGTTTGGAGGAGATGATGGATGCTTCCAGAATGACAGTAGAGGGAAGAGGTTTGGGAGCTATACTGCGTTATTATAACCCAGAGGTAACCCAGCCGGTTGAAGAGAAATCTTTCTCGAGCCCCAGGCAGATTGCTATTCTGTCTGACTGGAGGGAGGAGACGATACAGATGCCAGTTCGAGGAAGCCAGAAAGACGCATCATCTGACAGAGGTATGTTGCAGCCTTGGAGGTAATCCCCTCATTTTCCAGAGAGAATTTTGCCCCCTGCAGAGAGTATCCCTCCAGGGTGGGGATTTTATCCAGGCCAGGGGTGGATTCAATGCCAATGGGTAGGGTCAAACTTGTGGCCTGCAGGGTTTCTCAAAATCCTGGGATTTTTTCCACAGTCCACACCCACATCAACAAGCCATCATACCCCAAATCAAGGACTATCAACTCACTACAGCTACAGTTTGCAAAGGATAGAGCAGGAACACATCGTTAGTCCCACTGTTTGGGCAGGGACGGTGTTCTGCACCCCTGCCTGACACCCTTGTACCAAGAGGCGTACACCTTTCCCAGCTAACTTGACAAGAGATGCCTCATCACTGCTACTTCCCATTCAGGCACTAGCTACTAGCCGCAGAAGGCAAGTACATAGTGACACCAGCCCTACCCTGCTACCTTCTATCAGCTGTAGGTGATGGAAGGTCATCTCAGCCCAAATGGCAGGAGCAAGATGTTTTCTGGCACAGCCCTAACCATCCAACTTTGTCAGATGAAGGCTGAGATTATGTATCTGCTGATCTTTCATAACCCTCTTTCACTTGTCACCCCAAAGCTGTGTTCAGACAGGACTGCCTATCCACTTCTTGATACTGAATTACCATTCCTTTTCTCCCATGCATTACAAAGCTGCTAATCCCAGATTCCACATCTAACTAGCCACTTTCTTCTCATGATAACCCTGCAAGATAGGCAAAGCTTATACTCAAATCTTAAAATGATTTGAAATCTCTACTGCTTATAAGTGGAAAACATCAAATAGCAGTTAGCTTTTTTCTCAGCGACATATTGTATTTATTCAATAAATATTTAGCCTTTAACAAAATTACTTTATTTAATTAAATTTTATGTTTACACCAGTAAAGTAAACATACTTTACATACAGTAAACTTCCACTAGAGTAAAAAAAATGAAGAGTGCGTTTAGAAAAAGACTTCAGTGTTGTAGCCTTTTGGTGAATAAAGTAGTCCACATGATAATATGAGTTTGAAACTCCTGGTTTAGGTCATTCCACAATAGAACTGAGTAGCATTAGTTTAACCCTGTGCATGACTGAATATATTTAGGGTTCAATTCCATCCCATTGGAATTAGTTAGGTGTATGAATCATTCCCCTTTTGATATTTCTCGATGTATTAAGCTTCTAATTCAGGGGTGTCAAACTCAAAACCCATGGGCCAGATTTGGCCCGCAAGGTGCTCAGATCTGGCCCACAGAGCCTCCCTTGAAACAGCGAAGGACCAGCTTACAGTGCCTCTGCCAGTGAAAACAGAGCTTGGGAGGGCTGCGTGTGGTCCTCCCAATTCCGTTTTTGTTGGCAGAGGGTTGCAGGAGGCTGTTGTGGCTGAAAATGGAGCTTGGGAGCCCATTTGCTCTGGCCACCATAAGCACCCCCAATACGAGTGATGTCAAGCTGGCCTCCCAAGGTCAAACACAACTCTAATGCAGCCCTTAATGAAATTGAGTTTGATATCCCTGTTAATCCAGCTAAATATGTTGGGAGACAAAGAGCAACAATCTATCCAATGCCTTCTAATGACAGTAAGACTGAGCAATCTCAAATAACTCTTGTGTGTAAATAAATGAAAAATAAGCAAATATACCATAGCTATTAACTCATATTTTTATACTATCCATTTCATTTGGGAGAAGCCTGCCCTTCAAGGTTGACCTGTCATTCTGAGAAGACAGAACTCAATGCATCTTTACAATAAAGCAGACATTTTATTCAAGGTTTCCCTGGGTAGGAATTATCTTTTTGCAGAGAAGTTACCATACATATCTATTTGCAATGCACTAAGCGTAAAAAAGCAATATCTACAGCCGTAAATATAGAACATTAATCTCACCCAGTTTTCTGCAAGCCTATAAACATGTGTTTTTTTTTAAAGCACTCCTCAAATAGACATTTGATCTCATGCTTTATATTGCTGGGTATTACTCTTCCTGTTCATTATGTTTGCTCTTTATTCACCACTTCCTGCAACATAATTGAGTACTTTGGGGCAAATTCAAGGCCATTTGTGAAGGTATGGCATAATCAGCTATCTTGTAGTGATATTTCTCTGTGACATTTCAGTCATTGATCCTGAACATCTCACCGATAGGTTATTTCATTTCATCACTGAGAAACAATATAGACGTTTGCAAAGTTATTCCATTAATTTTAAGTAGGTATTTAAAAAATGGTATCATAAAAAAATCACAAGTGTGTATTTGTGCTTTAAAAATAATCCAGACATTTCTTATAATCAGGTATGGAGTGAAGCGTATCTGTGCAGTTAGGAGAATTCTAAATGGCCATGGGTTATAATTTCATATATAATCTGATTTTTTGCCTAATTAATTCAAAGTTTTAAATTTGTGTTTAATCCGACAGAACTCACTTCAGAGCAGAAACACCAACCATATGTAGGGTGGCCAGATGCAATATATTTCTACAACCTTGAGAGTTGGTTAAAATATAGAATTCTAGTAGCTAGAACTGGTTATGAAAGATGTGAAAGATTCGACTACCATTTGTCAGAAATGGTGTAGGGTGTCCCGCTTAGGTGGTGAGTTGGACTAGATGACCTATAGGGTCCCTTCCAACTCTGATTATCTGTTATCTATTACAGATGCACCTCCTGACATTTGCCTTCTTTATAATTAATAAAGGTATAGCAATTCTACCAGTATTTGCAACTATACATGGTCTTCTCATAAACATTCCCTGCCCCCAAAAGAATAACATATGTAAGCATTATTGTAGTACAAAAGAAAACATAGAAATCTGATGTGTTTTTTTTAAAAAAAAACACTTTTCCTGGTTTTTATTAATATATCATTATCATCCAGTAACATCTTTGCTAGCTAATACAAGTACCAGATATATTATTATTTAATCTCCATTAAACTTTGCTGTTAAAGTACACTTACTGAAATACTTAAAAATATAAAGGTTCAGATTATTTGTAGGCAGCATGTTTGAACGTAAGTAAATTGCTTCACTGTAGGCCATTTAATTGAACAGTGTTATGGAGAAACTGGCAGGCAGTTAGTGATCCTATGTTAAAAGTAGAGTATTGTTGAAAGTGGACTGTGATCTATTGGTTTCTCTTTAGAATAAAGTTGGCTGAAAAATCTTAAATGAACTGACTAATTTCCAGTGACTAAGATGTATAGGACATTGGCTTAGATTGGAACAAGTTTTATTGCAACATTTTGAGGGCGCATCATGAGGATAAGCAGCTACACTGGGTCTGTAAGATGATCAAAGATTTAGAATAATTACCCAGTCATTACTTCAGTCTGGGAGTGGATGGTATAATGCCAATTTATTACATAAATCCTTTCCTCACATCTAGATGATTAAGTAGGAGTAAAGCTAATAATTAGGGGCTGGAAGAAGCTATGCATCAGTTGGGAACCCCCATTTATTAAGCAGACATTATATGTTATAACGATGTGTGTCTTTGGCATGTTGTTGAGAAAAGACACAATGTTCTGTCCTCACTATGCAGTTAAGCCCACCTATCGTCCAATAAAACAGACCATGTGCATAGATCTGAATGTTTTATTGAAAGAACAGGATATGGGGAAAATAGGAACACATAGAATGAGAACCAAATACAAGATAGGCAGTATTGGGTTACTGCTGAATATAACAATTAATAAATATAAGCAATCTAAATTTCACCAGCAATGCTCTGTCTGTGGGATGTGGGTTTGTCCTTGGATGACCATATGCCACAGATTAAGATGGATTCTTCTTTGGGCTTCTGCCTTCTCCAAATGCTAAAGGAAATGGAATCGAGCTTCCCAGCATGCATTTGTTTTGGGAGTGCGGGCTGATGGTAATGGGTGGGGTCAGCTTCAAACAATATACTTGGTATTTGTTTCTCTGGTCACTAGATGGGGCTAGAGAGCAACAACAGTATGTAAAGACTGTTTGTTGGGGCATATTTGTCCCTCCAGCCACTAGATGGGGCTAGAGAGCAACAGCAGTATATAAAAGCCTAGAGAAAGACGGAGGGGAGTCATGCAAAAATGAATCCAAAACAATCAGCAAATTTGAAGTTGAAAAGCAAAAATACTTGTCAACTTTTAATATGGCATAGCTGATGTCTAAACTGCTAATTTTTGTCTTTGTTCCGTAATAAACAAGATTAAAAGTGCCATTTCTGTGTTCTTGCCTATAGGAGTCTGATCCTGAACCCGTGTGTATATGCCACCAGTGATAGCACCCATGTGCTGACTTGTGTACAGTATAAAGCATTCCAAGTACCCATGCAATGCAATATTTTATTTCATTTCTCCTTGCAGGAGTTGAAGTCAGATCTTTAAAAGTCTGGAAGAACTTTTATATCCTGCTGGCTTCATTATTTCTTTTATCATCTCAGTTTTCTCATAAATGAATTCCTGGTCACATTAAGAGAGAGAAAATGAACCAAGTATAATTATAGAGAACATATTACTAAGTATATTCATTTAGTGAAACGCATGAGACTTACATACTCATGCATTTAACTAAAATGCAAATTGAATACTGTGTACATATGCAAGATGGCATATCAATTGGAGTTGCTTGTGAGAAATCTGATATCTCTAAAGATTGTGAAGTAGCCTCCACTTGTGTTTTCTTTCTCAAGGTTGAAAATAATATTTTTGAACTGGCACTGGCTGAAGTGTTTCATTTTCCTTACCACTTGTTACTCTCTCCTAGGCGAACCCTGCATTTAGTAATACATGAAATGGCAACATGCACCATCCCCTGGGTCAATGGTCCCTACCTAGTAGCTCTCTAATTTCTTCTGCACCTGCTGTTACCAAAGATGTTGCCAGTTGCACTGCGGTTATAACATTCACTGTCTCACAGAACTTCAGTTCAAAACACAATACTGCAGATCATTCTTTCCCTGAGTTATCCGTTCATTTTTCCTGGTGCATTTTTTTTTCATTTGTTAGTTTGGTTTCTGTTGAATAAGCCCACTGATGCATCCTTGAAACACTGCAGGCTTTGTTTGTTTGTTTTTTACCCAGCTTCCAAATAACCCAAATAAAGTACTATACATTTGGGGGTATTTAGCAGCAGGAATGAAACCCTGCTACTCATATTGCAGGAAAAACTGTGAACTGTGCACCAGTGACTTTTCCTTAAAGATTGAAGTGGATATTTCATTTAAAAATATCTCTCATGCGTTCAAATATGAATATGTTCTGCACTTCAGGCAAATGATGTAAGCACTGTATTACACTACTGAGAAATGTCTGAGGCAGCAGTTGCTGTTTAGACATGGAAATTTGGAAGCCTGAACACCACTTTATGAACTCGACATGAAGTGTGAAAGGGCCTGGGAAAAGCTTTTGCAGAGGGGTCAAAGCATTGAATCCTGGATCAGTTCAAGGATGAAAAAACAACAGAAGTTTTGAGGTAATAGAATGACATCTGTAATTACTATGTATGAATAAATGTTCCTTCCCTTTAGATTTACACTTCCTTCAATAGATAAGATGTTCTGCTCTGCTCTGCTCTGCTCGGTGCAAGTTTGATTTGAGAAGCACAAATAGATTTACCTACTTGGATCATATCCAGCTTGGAGTGGAAAGTCATTTGCTCCAAAGGACCATAATGCTTCATATAGCACCGTTCTGCCATGTTGGAAATTCCTACCAGCATCTGGCTTAATTGTCGAGTCTGCAGGAAATATAAAGAAGTAGATAGACGAACCTTAAGGAGATGTAAGAAAAAAACGAGTTGCCTCTATTGACTTGCATTGAACAAGTCACAGGTGACTACTTATCAAAGGTAAAATGAAAGTTAAATACAGCACTATCTTCATTAACATTATGGCCCTGAATTTTCTCTCTATAATAAGCGTAATAGAGGATTATTCCAATCAATCAGACATTATTCTTCTGCTATAGCTCAAGTAGCCTTCCTGCCTGATCAAGATTTTTTTAAAGCACCTTATAAATTTAATTGTTCCTTGCCACAAACCAAAATCTTTCTAATAATACAAACTATGATCAATATTTTCTAACCCAGGCTTCATAAACCATAATTATTCACAAACTTGTTTTAAAAACAAAACCTATTTTATTGCAACACTGGGAATTGTTTTCATTCCCAGCTGGAATTAAGTTCAAACAGTCCCCCAAAATAAGCACACACCTTTCAGTTCTGAGAAGTGCTGCCAAAACAGAAGTATCAAATTAACTAGAAAAGAAACCAACAAAGTACAAGAAAAACCAACTGAAGTACAAGAGCTTCAAGGATGACTTGGAACCGATCAAACTACTTTGCTTCCTGCAAAGGTTTCGTCATCTTGGCCTGACTTTTATCCCTTATGGGAGGGACAATCATCTCCCAGCCTTACTGCTGAGTTGCCCCTTTTGTTTCAGCTGCTCTCGCCTTCTAGCATCTTTGCGCACATGTGCACTGGGAACAGGCTTCCCTGGGTCCTCTGCTTCGCTGCTGCCAGATTCCAAAGGCAGCACCCCACTCCCAGATGGTCCTGGTCCATCTCTGCCTCAGACCCAGGACCCTCATCTGAGTTCACTCTAGACTCCCTGACTGGTCCCCATTCTTCTCCACTGTATGATTCTGCTGCCAGCGAACCACAACACAATAAATATAATTCACATTTGCTGTCACCATGCAAAATCATCCCACCATCCTCACCCAGAATTTAACTCTGGAGTGGAAAAAAGTACATTTGGAATTTCTGAGCCAATTTTACTCTAATACAAATATTGCAAGACAGTCACAATTAAAATTCCTTTCACAAATACTTGATAATACTGCTTAGTTTTCTCTTCTTATTTTGAGTCTTCTCTTTTTACCCCAACTGTGTGTTTCTTTTTCTATTCAGCCTGCTTTCCAACTACACTTGTTAATGCCTATAATTTCATAAATTAAATGTGCTTTCACAGAACAGCTTCACTGTGGTAATTTATCCTCATGCCAATAGGAAATTGAATAACAGAGTTGGAAAGGACATTGGAGATCTTCTAGTCCAACCCATGCTCAGATAGGAAACCCTATACCATTTCAGACAAATGGTTGTCCAATCTCTTCTTCCAGTGTTGGAGCATTCACAACTTCTGGAGGCAAGTTGTTCCCGATTAATTGTTCTGTCAAGAAATTTCTCCTTAGTTCTGCGCTGCTTCTCTCCTTGATTAGTTTCAATCCATTTCTTGTCCTGTCTTCAGGTGCTTTGGAAAATAGCTTGACTCCCTCTTCTTTGTGGCAACCCCTGAACAGGCTATCATGTCACCCCTCATACAGCCCTAAATCTTTCTGATCCTCCAGTGCATACTTAGCACACATTTGGAATGGTTCTGGACTGGATTATTGTCCATAAAGCTTTAAACACACAGCAATTTAAAAGCCACAATTGGTTAGCTCTCTTTACTGAAATACCAGCCCTTTCCCTTTCAATCACATGAAAGGGCCTTCTCCAAATGGCACATAGTTTCTTTTTCCCCATTGACTTTAAATTTATTCTTTAAAACTATGGGTCAACCAATCTGATTATCAACTACTAGGTGGAGGTACATAGAATTTTTGTATTTCTTGGTTACCATACTGTTTAACCAGATTTGTGCTGTCTCTGGATAAGCAATTTGAGAAAAAGGTTTAGGTGTGTTGATTAGTGTAGGAGTTGTAAACTACCTTAAGGACATTATGCAGGGAGAGGAAGTATGGAGGCAAGACTCTTGGAAACAGCAATCATTGGGAAGGGAATTCTCTGCAGGTAGGGTAGAGAAAGACAAAAGACAGACCTTTCAGTTACACTTCCCATTAATGGCATGAAGCCAGGGCAAGCTATTTATATTCAGAGATATCCACTCTCTAGATAAACCAATTGACACATCAACCAGCACATTCCAAGAAAGAGAGAAAAAGGGGGAGGGAGGCTAAAAAAAGTCAGGATTTTGGTCTCCCTCACAGCCAAAACAGGACAGAGGGGCAGAAAAATAGGTCAGAGCCTGGATTGAAGTAGTTGGCCCAAGACGAAATTGGCAGAGCCAACTGGAGATAGATTTTCCTGCCACAGAACATATGCTTGTCTTTCAAGGTAGTCGGGAGGAGCAGCACATCTAGATGAGCCAGTTCTATTTTACTGTAAGGTTACAATCACAAAATTTTGAAAATCTAAAATAGATTTCTCCCTGTTGCCTTTACAGCCATGAAACTGGGGAAGGCCCCTTCTGACATGTCACACACACCCGGGGGTGGGATTCTACCAGTTTGCACCTATTTGCTAGAACCGGTTGTTAACATTCTAAGCAGTTTGGAGAACCAGTTGTTAGAAGAAATTACTGGCCTAATCCTGTAAGGAAGGCAGGAAGGAAACATTCTGGTGTTGCTTACAGAAACTGCCTCTCCATTAACCCTTATTACATTATTAGCAGGACTAGACTTCCTGTCTCTGGAACTTCTCTGGAGTTTTTTTCCCCTTCTTTTGCTGATACTTTGCTTGTGTGGAGTGACCATTCAAAGTTACAATGGCACTGAAAAAAGTGACTTATGACCGTTTTTCACACTTATGACTGTTGCAGCATCCCCACAGTCATGAGAGGCCAGGCAAGGAGATGCGTGCCTCGATGTGAGTGATATTGAGTTGGCCACACCCAGCCAATAACATGACCACCAAACCACATCCACCACCTAAGCCACGCCCACAGAACCAGTTGTTCAAAATTTTGAATCCCACCCCTGCACACACCCCATTCCTTCTGTGTGCTAAGCTGCCTCTTATTCAACTCTAGTCCCAACAGTGTCTCTCCTTCTGTCTTCCAAGATCATTCCCAGGTACTATTACAATGTGTCACTCAACACTGCCTCCCTTCAGCATCAGGGTGCCCCTATACTTCTGTTTTTCTGTTTTCCTTTTTGCATATAATTGAATGATTATGGGTTTTAATGTTATTATGTATTGCACACAGCTCCAAATTACATTTTTGTGAGGTGAGTGGCTATATAAATCTTCTAAACAAAGAAATAAATTTAGTGTGTGGAAAAGGGATAAGAGGGAAAGTACCACTTCTAGAGCAAAGCAATCTTTAGCCATCCTTGAGCTGTTTCAGCTGTGGGTAGATTGCCGGTAGGCATTTTTTTTGGAAAGGACCAAGGAGGCTGTCTGGATTTGCCCTAAGTTAGGCTCCATCTTAAGAACAGCTATAGCTGACTGTCACTTTTGCTTAATACTTCGAAATGCTAGCAGCTTTTTAAGCCCAACACAGGTGGCAAACCCAAGAAGCAAGAAATTCCAGGAAAACATTTTTAATGCTAGTCAGCTGAAACATAAAGCTGAAATTTCTAAAAATAAATTCCCAGTCATAATATAATAAATTAATTAAGGCAGTTTCTCTTTTTTCCTTCTCATAGTCCAGGGGTGTCCAACCTTGGCAACTTTAAGACTTGTGGACTTTGCTGGCTGAGGAATTCTGGGAGTTGAAGTCCACAAGTCTTAAAGTTGCCAAGGTTGGACACCCCTGTCATAGTCCCTACCTCGCCTCTTCTCATACCTCCTAAAATTCTCTATCTGGTTCCCAGAATTTTCCACTTAGCTTGCTCTGTTTCTCCCATCTGTTTACTGTCCTAAGGAGCTATTTTTATTTGTTTGTTAAAATTATATCCTGCCTTTTTTCCAGGAACTGTGTAGTTGTTCCTGAGATCAATATCATTGGAGCTAGCAACAGTTTTCAGCTAACTTATACTTGATTTGTTTATAATCCTACCCTTCAACAAATGATTGGATTATTTTCTTTTTCCATTTTATTCTGATTCTTCTGTTTCCCTTCTTAGGGATCCTAGCCTTGATTTATGCACTGTTTCTGTACACTAATGGTAACAACTGAACATCCTGCCCCACTACCCCTTCAAGTAGACCTTGATTTTTCCATTCTTGTTTCCTTCCCAACAATCAACGATAGTAACAGAAAAATAATGATAGAACTACCAGTATGTCCTACCCATTCTTTGATGTGAGGAATGTTGCACTGTTGAACTGCAAAGTTGCATTTTAAATGAAAACAATATTTCTCCATTCCCACTCTAGCCTGAACACTGGAAGAAAAAATGGGGGGGGGGGTTGAGAAAAAGAAGTGCATAATACTTACACGTTTACTTCTGAGGCCTTCTTTATTATCAATATAATTAATCAGCCCTATGTTTCTTTCCTTCAGTGCATTGTACTTTGACTGGAGCTCAGAAACTTTGCTAATCAACACCTAGAAGCATATAATAGAAAAAAAAGATGCGCTTTTGCAAAAAGAAAAATAATCTGTGCATCTGATTTCTGTCACCTACACAGTTACAAATATGTCATGTTGGTAGTTTTACAGCAATAAAATTTAATCAATAGACAGCTAGATTGCACTATAATAATTTCAGTCCTTGGAACATGGACCCATCACAATCCTGTGAGGTAGATTGGGTTAAGGAGTGTGGCTAAAAGTCATCTATTGAGTTTCCATGACTGATGGCAAACTAGAATCTGGATCAATAAAATGAGGTCCTTATTTTGAGAGTGTTTTCCTTCGCCTCAATAAAATATACATCTGGGCTGGACAAGATCCAGGAGCAGAACAGCTGTTTTGCTTGTCAACATCCCGGTGCAATCCTTGATACATTCTATAACAATGTTCATATAAGAGCTGAGAAAATTTCTCTCTCTCTAAGACTTAGAGAATTGCAGAATGCAGATCAGATTCTTCTAAGAGTTCTCTCACCGACTTGCAGCAAATTGCAAAATAAGTCTGATTCAAATTTTGCTGATGTACTAAACTAACTAAAATTCCCAGCATCTCTTACTATTAGTTATGCTAGCTAGGACTGCTACTAGGTGTAGCTATATCTGAAAAAATATTGTCTTCCTACCTTTGCACTGTTAAGAGAAGCAGTCCATCCACTGGCTATAATGATTACTTTTATCATTATTTTATTTAACATTTATATAACCATCTGTCTTTTATCAAACTCTGAGTGGCTCCCAACCAACATTAAAACAACATCAATAATAAAAATTATAGGGTGAGATGGATTTAACAATAGACTGCATTTGGAAGCTTAACTTTGGTGCCAGATTTTTAATAGTTATGGTTTTAATAGTTTTAACTACTAAACTAATATATTAAAACCATCAACATTAAAAACCTGGCTACAAAATTTAATTGTGCATGCAGTCCATCTTTAAATCCCCTCATCCACCTCACTCTATCCCAGTGCTTGGAGGAAAAGTCAGGTTTTGATTAGTATATTCAACTAATAAATACCTCGCTTACTTTAACAAGGCCATACTGAAATATATAAAATGGTATACACTGAAAAGGAAGGTTGTAGCCTTTTTTGTCTCCTGATAGATTATCCATTTATATACCATTCATAAAACTGAAATCAAATATTTTGTCCTTGTGACATGACCATAGTTAGACCCTGCTCAGAGAACAGGTATACCAATAATTCGAAAATGAAGCACAAGAATCACAGGGTGAGTGCGCTTTGCACTGATAATAGTTTTTAAGGCCTTATCCTTTTCAAAAAGCAGAACTGACTCCATATTAAGAAATCAGTAGAGAACAGACTCTGTAGCATGGCTAACCAGGCCTCTGAAGTAAACAAACAGTCATAACTAAGCATCATAACATGGTCAGGTATTGGCAACATTACAAATCTCATGGTGTTATGTTCTTCTTGTGTGACAGCACGTTTATGATGGCTTATCTCAATGTTTTCTTCTTGGATGAACAAACGCTTCCTCAGGTTCTGATTGGTAGAAAACAGGGCCTTATGCCTTTGTGTGAGGGTTTTAATCACAGAATCTTCCTTATGCCCCAAAAAGTCTGTAATCAGAAAGAAGGGGGGGGGCGTATTTTTCATGGACAACACACATAAGTCAGTGATTACAGAAGAGCTTAGGAGCCCCACCTGAGTGAAGCAGAAAGGCCAGTCCACTACATTCCAGTACATGCAACTGGCCTTAAATGCAAGCTACTCAATGCAAGAAGCCTTGTGAATAAAATACCTGAATTTCTCCTCTTGCTAAATATGGGTGAATTCGACATCATATTTGTCTGAGAAACATGGGTCAATGCATCTCTCCCTGACTCCATTACCACAGTAAGAGACTATCATGTTTACCAATAAGATCGTGAAATCTGTAGAAGAGATGGTTTTGCTATCTTCTATAAAAAGTCCTTACATCTAAAATATATCCAAATTAGCCAAGAGCTTGCTCCTCCTGAGACCATCATCTGTGAACTGTCCTTAAATATCACATTTCGATTCTTACTATGTTATAGAGCACCTGATTATGACATCAAACATATAAGCAAGCTAAATTTACTACTAATATGGGCAACATCCTGCCCAAACACTTTTATCTTTCTTGGTGACTTCAATCTACCTCACATTAACTGGACCTTAAATGAATGTAAAACTGAACCCATACATGCAACCTTCTACAATGCTGTAACAAACCAGGGACTGGAACAACTAGTAACCAACAATACTAGACTTAACAACTACCTCAATCTCATCTTCTGCAATAGTTTGAATTCAATTTACAGAATACAAATTAAAGAGCCCTTTTCCAACAGTGACCACAACATGATTGACTTTTGTCTCAACATACGTCCACACAAAAATCAACAGAACAGTGTGATCCCCAATTATAACTTCAAAAAAGGCAACTATGATCTTATAGACAATGATCTCTCATCCCTTGATTGGCAATTTCTATTCACTGGATGCAATATTGTAGAAGACCATTACAACATATTTATACTTGAAGTCAAAAGAGTCATCAAACTATATGTACCAATAATAACTCCCAAAACCAGAAAAAAACAGATTACCCATAACAATAAGGAAACTTCAATCCAAAAAGAGATCATTTTGGTGGAAAAACAAATCTGGTCACGTTGCCAACTTCAAAAGCCGATACAAAAATTTATGCCACCAGATAAAGACTGAATGCACCAATTATCACATTAAACAAGAGTAAAACCTTCTACCCACCAATTCTACCTGCACTTTCTACAATTTTGTAAACAACAAACTAAAAGACTCAAGATCCATCCCACCCCTGAAATGACCTAATGGTAAAGACTGCAACAACGACACTTTTAAAGCCAAGCTCTTTAACACATTCTTTGGCTCACTATTTGTAAACAGCAATGGATCATGCCCAATATTTCCTAGTTGAACCACAGACAACTACAATGATCTAATACATATCGATTTTACAGTAGACAATGTTGAAAAATCACTACGCAATCTAAAACCATCTCTATCTATTGGACCAGATGGAATATGTGCCTACTTCTTAAAAAAGCTATCCACTGCCATAGGCAAACCTTTTATTTATTTTATTTATTTATTTATTTATTTTATTTGTCAATTGCTTACAAGATAATAGGTATCAGTATATACATAGTTATGAATACATGACAGGGACGGTAGGCACATTGGTGCACTTATGCACGCCCCCTACAGACCTCTTACAAACCTCTAAGCATAATCTTTGAAAAATCTTTCAGAACCAGCTCCTTGCCAAATCTATGGTCACAAGCCACAGTCATCCCCATCTTCAAAAAGGGAGACCCCAGCATAGTTGAAAATTACAGACCAATCTTTTATTCTGCATCACCTGTAAAGTCATGGAATCAATTATTAACCAATCCATTGTCCTCCACTTAGAGACAAACAACCTACTCTATAATTAACAATATGGTTTCAGAAAAAAACTATCCTGTAATCTGCAATTCTTACACTGCAAAAACATATGGACTACACAACTCGATCAGGGAAAAACAACAGACGCAATCTACATAGACTTCTGTAAAGCCTTTGATTCAGTGGTACACGACAAACTACTCCTAAAACTAACATCTTATGGTATCTCTGGACACCTACATAACTGGATAGAAGCATTCCTGTCAAACAGACAACAAATGGTCAACATTGGGAGCATCCTATCAAATTCTGTACCTGTCAATAGTGGTGTCCCCCAAGGCAGTGTTCTAGGACCTACTCTCTTCATACTCTACATAAATGACCTCTGTGATCATATTAAGAGCAACTGCATTCTCTTCGCTGATGATGTAAAGCTATTCAACACCACAGACAATACTGCTACCCTTCAAAAAGATCTCGACTATATATCAGAATGGTCAAACAAATGGCAACTTCAAATCTCAACAAATAAATGTTCTGTCTTACATATTGGCAAAAAAAATCAGAAAATAAAATACAGGCTGAATAGTCAAGACCTTGTTGATGATCCAAACTCTGTCAAGGATCTTGGAGTACTCATCTCTAATGAGCTAAGTGCTAGAGCCCACTGTAACTACACAGCCAAAAAGGCAGTAAGAGTTGTTAACCTAATCTTACGTAGCTTTTTCTCTGGTAATATTACACTACTAACTAGCGCATACAAAACATTTGCTAGACTAATACTTGAATACAGCTCATCAGTCTGGAACCCACATTACGTATCTGATATTAACACAGTTGAGAAAGTCCAGAAATATTTCACAAGAAGAGTTCTCCACTCCTCTACTCGTGGCAGAATACCTTATGCCTCCAGACTTGAAATTCTAGACCTAGAAAACCTAAAACTACGCTGCCTTCGGTCCGATCTAAGTATAATATATAAAATCATACATTGCAATGTCCCACCTGTCAATGAATACTTCAGCTTCAACCATAACAACACAAGAGCAAACAGTAGATACAAACTCAAGGTTAATTGCACCAAACTTGATTGCAGGAAATATGACTTTAGCAACAGAGTGATCAATGTCTGGAATACTCTACCTGACTCTGTGGTTTCTTCCCCAAACCCCAAAAACTTTAACCTTAGACTGTCTACTATTGACCTCACCCCTTTCCTAAGAGGTCTGTAGGGAGCATGCATAAGCACACCAACATGCCTACCGTCCCTGTCTTATTGTTTCTGTTATTTTTCTTATATGTATCCATGTATTCATAACTGTGTTTTTACTTATACCTACTATCTTGTAAGCAATTGACAAACCAAATAAAATAAAATAAAAACAAATAAAAATAAAAATAAATGTATGTCCACATGTGCACTCTAGTACAACATCAAGTCTGGGAGACTGCTTGCATGAGAATATGCCCATAAAAATCATTCACACGCGTTATAGAGGATTCAATTTCACCAAGGCCAAAATAGCCTATTTTTCAGAAATGCCCTTCTGTCCTTAGAGAACATTTAACAAACAGAAACTGATCATAAATAAGAAGAATGTTGGTTTTGCCTTTTAGAAATGAAGAAATAAAATAGCACTGCCATCCTACTGTATTAGTGTGCATGTCTCCGAAAAATAAAACATCCAGTTCACTATGCTTCACTGCCAAGTAAGAATATACAAATAATCAACATTGTATAATGCAAAGGATTTTATGTGATGCGAAAGGTCGAGCTGTCAAGGGAAAGTTTGGGATCTGAAGGAAAGTGCCAAGCTCTTCCTTTGGCCACCTTTTCATCTAAACTACCAAGTCTAATAAATCTCTACATTTTCTTACATCAGTTTCATTAATTCTTTCAAAATTTGTGCATCTGTGAAGCAGGGAGGGGCTGACTGATATTGTCAATAATTGCTGCTTTAGGTCTCAGAACCTTATTTGCAGCCTCTTTGAATGTACATGCAATTTGGTTTGTCATTTTATTAAATGACAAATCAAAGGACATGTTACTTTGTTATTTAAGAGATGATTAATGAGATGAACATAATTATTTAAAATAATGATAAGTGGTCATTTAAACAGTTTTGCAAATGGTCATGTGGCTTTTTAAGAGCACAGTACAATTTCAAGGAAATCATTCTCAAAGAATGTTTGAATGATAGGTACACACCTGGTGGCAACAGGTTGACAATTTTGTTCAAAAAATGTTCATAACTTTTATATTTGTCTATCTTCTTCTGTAGTTCCTGTTGTCTGAAGAAACAGATCAATGGTATTTATTGATGTTTAGCAAAAATATCTTACTAGGAGATAGCTACATATTATCAGTCATATAGTGCAGGGGTCCCCAACCCTCTGTCCATGTACCAGCACTGGTCCACAGCATGCCAAGAAACTGGAATGTGCAAACAAGGAAAGCCCATCCACTGAATACAGGCAGCACACAAAACCACATCCACGCCATTCTGTGGGAACACCTCTCTCCATGGAACTGGTCTCTGGTGCCCAAAAGGTTGGGGGCCACTGATATGGTGGAAGGGTTATGTCATGCCCCTGTCAGAATCTGATTCAGAGGGGGAGGCCGAACGGCTGACAGGAAGTGGGAGTGTGGCTCCGTTGGCTGTGGAAGAAACTGGGGAAGGGCAGAGTCTGGCTGGGCAGAGCAGGGGAGAGGTACAGCAAGGGAGAGGGAATTCGGAGGGAGATCCAGGCCCACCCCCTCTTCATCCTAGGGTATACAGGGAGGAACGGAGAAGGGAGCAACGTGAGTTGCATGGCTTACGGGGGAGGAAGGGGCCCTGATTCCCTTCATTAGCTGCATCTGGGAATACAGCATTTTAAAAAGGAAGTTGTGCACAGCAAACTGTTGAGAGCAAATCATGAATTGTCTGGTACTGTTGAGGCTTATCTGGGTTCCTGGCATCTTCCCAACTGTGTGTGTTTTGCTGGCCTTTCAAGCCTGCAATTCCTTATCCTGCCCTGTCAAGTTAATTACTGCAGCATAGTTTGAGTGGATTTTTATCTACAGTTTGTATGTACTTTGTTTTCAGACTGAATTTCCTCCACTTAAAGACTGTTCTTGGGAGAGTTTTTTCTCCAGCCGAAGGTAACCTGGACATTGGGGGCAAAGTTGGAGGTATTAAAAGGACTCTTCTTACTTATGTGACTGTGTTGCCTTTGTGCCACACACCGGGTCATCACAGGTTATCATGCAACCATAACAAAGCAAAGAGAGTGCTAAAATTTTTCACAGGGAGCATTAACACTCTAGATGACACTAACAGGTTATTAGAAAAGACTCCCACAGAGTACTGACTGGGGAGAGGACTGAGAACCATCCAGAGGAGGTCATTTGGATAAGGACTGGGACTGGCAGAGACAAAGAGCGGCCAACCTAGATTTGGGCCGGGAGCAGGAGGAGGAGCAAGAGGAATCAGGCAGAGCCAGAATGAGGAGAATATCAACTGCTCTGAGTCTTTTGGGAGCCAGCAAAGGTTGTAAAGAACACAGAGAGGGGGAAGACTGAATTGTTTGGATATGTTTATGTTTTTAACTCCTGCTAGATTTGTTTTGAGTCTTCTTAGGTGTGAGGAGAAAGAAAGAGTCAATTTTCAGTAAAGGACTGAATTTTCTTATCGTTGTATGCACATAGTAAGTTGTGCTGTCCTTAGTTAAGCTCTGAATGCAAGTAATAAAGAGTTGGTCTGTAACTAGCAATGTCTTTTTATTCTTTATCAGTTGTGTAGAAGGAGAAGGGAAATGCTGCGGGGGAACCCTGCTCATTGGCGAGTTAGCAGAAATGACACTGATGGGGATCCCACAATTTGGAGTTTTCCTTGGCAACAGCTTCTCAACTAGCAACTATGTAAAGCAAAGCTATACTGAATTCAAGAGGACTTTAAGAAATTGTACAGTAAAAATTCAACCAATCTTTTACTTCAAACTCATTCTGGAGTGGGTTTATATCAGGTCAATTATTTATTAATCTAATCCAGTTTTGTCCACCCTTTCCGATAGGAACACAACCCATTCCGTGAGATCTATTAACTAGAAATATCCAAGGCTAAATCTTCTATATGAAAAGCAGGTGTTTCTCTATGCTGAATATATTTCCACATTCATCAGTTAAATATAAACCTCTAGTCCAAAGGTATTAATCTACATTTCTTATTATAGAAAAATATTAGATTAACAGAGTTGGAAGGGACCTTGTAAGGTCATCTAGTCCAACTCCTCATCCAAGCAGGAGACCCTACACCATTTGATTTGAATATCTCCAGCTAGACATATCATTTATAATGACAGTACTGCTGTATATATTGAAGAATTAAACAGAATCCTTGATCACTGTGCTTTTAAGATTGGGCTTTGAACCAGATTTCATTAAAAATTCTTGGCCAATTTTGGCAAGTATTTTTGTTGCATGCTGGAAATTTCATAGAAACTAAATAGCCTTCTATATGATCAGGAAATATTTTTAAGTATGATATCTGAAATAGCATAACCAAGGCAAATGAAACTAATGTTTAGTGTGGAGGAGCTGAGTATTTCCTAGAAATCTTTGTCAGAGCTAGATAATTTGAATATCTGCTCCAGTGTTCACCTAAATCTTTTATTTCTAGAGCAAGCCAGTAATTTTTAAAAATTGAATGTAAATACTATGGCTTGCCAGATAATTTTCAGTGATCTCATTCTAAAGGAATTAAAGTACAGGTAAATACTCTGCTTCTTAATGTTCTCACTGCTCAGAGAGTAGGATGTATATGGTAGCATATTATACATGTGTAAATATTTACAGAAGTGGAACATATCTGCTAGCATATCATACATTTATCCATTATAGACAAATTATCCAATTACGGGATTCATTTGGACAAACTGCCTAGAAATATTGCAATACAACCTCATCTTCCCAGCCACATTCATCACAAGAGTTTATATTTTATGGAGCTGCTTGACAAATCTTATTAAGTACTTGTGAAAGGACATATTGAGGAAATAAAGCATATGCTACAGGCAAAAACAGTTCTGTCTGGTTCTCCAAAATCTCAGTCCCATTTCTAGGACACCCTAATATTTACTGCCTATAGCTGTCACCGCATTTTGTTTAATGGTACAAACAGCACTGCTAGTCACTATGAGAAAACAGACATACCGTATATAAAGAAGTAGATAATAGACTACATCACCCTGAAGCCTCTAGAACAGAGGTCAGGAACTATGGCTCTTTTATGACTTGTGGACTTCAGTTCCCAGAATTCTTGAGTCATGCTGGCTCAGGAATTCTGGGAGTTGAAGTCCACAAGTCATAAAAGGCTCATAGTTTCCCACCCCTGCTCTAGAAGATCAAGCCTGAAACCATGAATCTATTCATTCCAAATGCAGAACTACTTGGGCAAAATATTTTAGGTTTGCTTTATTTTTAACAGAATTGAAATACTTTTTAGATTGCATTTTATGGTTTAATGTATAAAGATAATTACACATGCCATGTGTCTGGTGATCCCAAGAAAATTTTATCTTGCTATGGCAAATTACCATCAGATTTGGAACTTCAACCATACACATTGACTATATAATCTCAGGCACAAATTCATGCTGTCTCCTCAATCTGTCACGTACCTTACTTTCAGTTTTTGAAGTTCTCTTTTCAAAGTATGTATTTCTTGCTTCTTAAGTGCATTGTTTGTTTGTTCAATCTTGTATTTTGCAAGTGCATGTTCCTTTTTCAGATCACAATCTTGGAGATAAATTTGGAATCCATAAGCCTGAGTCCTGTGCTAATTAAGAAAGGAGAGAAAATGTTTACTGAATTTTGCATTAATTTTACTATTCAGAAAATCTGTTTCCCCTACAACAAATCTGGCCCTGTTTTGTTCAGTTCTTGGAAGGTTGTTGTGCTGGCAGACAGACAGACAAAAAAAAAGTCCTGACCTTTATATAATTTCTTTTCAAATTCTGTTGAAGTTGTGGGGGGGGGGGGGAGTAGGCTGAGGCTAGATCTGAAACTCATTCACAAATATGTGAGAGGCTGCATGTGTAAAAGATGGCAGATTTGTTCTCTGATGAAACAGAGGCTAGGACAAGAAGTGGCAGAGTAATATTATTCCTCTTCATAAATTTTGGCGTATAAACACTTTATGTTGCTTCAGTGATAGTGCCAGTGATGACAGATGGTGCAGAGATGTGCCTAGTTCCTACTGATCAGTTCCATCTATTGTGGCATACCACTCTCCATTTGGTAACTCAGCAAGACCCGCTACATGCATTTCAGTTTGGCCTAAAAGAGAGATTGGACATCTGGCTTACACAGTATAGATCTGTCAGCTGGCATATATTGTTCTTGTTTTGTTTGTCACAGGATTATTAATCACATTCCTCTTAGTATATCTCGTTAAAGGTTAGCAAAAATCATCCTACATTTGAAGATCCTTAAATTGTGTAACAGCCCTCCTGGTTTTTGAAGATGCTGTCAAGTATTAGAAACATGCTTCAACTTCCTAGCCAAAGGCAGGGAAGCTGACATAGTGATTTCAAAGAATCATAGATGTATTGAATTAGAATGAACCATAAAGATCATCTAATCCAAACCTCCATTATAGGCAGAAAGACCAAAGAAATAGCAAGATCTATTCTCTGGAGACTTGGTGAGCAATAATGCTGCCTTCTGATCTCCCAATGACTATATGCCCCAGCCTTCCATCAGGAAAAACCAGCCTACAGCAAACCATGCTGTGAGAGGAACCTTGCCATGGCACTAGTGAACGAAGAAAGTCCAGTGACTTTGGGCTCAGAAGAAATATTGCATGTCCCCAAAGTCAACATGCCCAAGACAAGCAATGCTGTTGGTTTTGTTCCTCTTCTTTCCCCAAAGGAAGGGGAAGAGACCTTGCAAAAGTGAGAGGGTATTGATGATCTCCTCACTCTCTCATATTCTCCATCTATTTCCTGAATATCTTCCCCATTCTGCCCAGCAGCAGCTATTTGTGAGTCAGCAACTCGACTTTGGTGGTTGAGGCTCTTCCTGAAGGCTTAACTTTCTAAAAGTTGACCTTTGGTCTCTCTCACCAAATTACCTGATAAATAAGAGGTTTCTGCAGAGTATGTTCTATTACTCCTGTTTTTCTTTCTCTTTTTAGAAGATTTTCCATAGGAATATCAATCTCACAGAATATAAAATATAAAAATATTTTTAAATGTATGGGAAAACAGGAATTAATGCTTAAGATCAATATTCGTAAGAAAAACATCAGAAAGAAAACAGGAGACAGGAAATTCGAGTCAGGAGAACGCACAGAAGGAAAAATGTGTAACTGTACAAAAAGTCAAGAAAACTAGCATCCCAAAAATTCCCCACATAGGCCATCCATTAAAGTGGTTTCAATTTAATATCCCACTTTAAAAGCAGAAGCAGGAGTTTCCTCCACATAATTGGATAAGAAAAGGAATACTCATTTGCATGCCCAGTTTACACTTTTATGTTTTACATTTTGTATAAAAGAGATGATAGACCTTCCTCACAGATGAGAAATAATACTTGCATTCTGATCTTTTTGTTGAAGTTCCTCTCTGTACTGGGCCACCCTTTCCATCCTCATTTCGATGTCTTGCTTCTTAGCAGCCAGGTCAGCAGTAATAATGTCATTTTTAGCCTTTTTCTTCAGGAGACGTAACTGTTGCAGTGTTTTCCTACTCGGATATAGAAAATTGCTGGAAGCCTAGAAAATGAACCATAAGTTTATGTGGCTAAAAGGACATGCCAAACAGGAAAGGTAGAGAAAAGCAAGCTTTAGTCCAGAAATATATATATTTATTTATTCAAAGTTTCAAAAAATTTAAAAAGAGAAACAATTTCTCACATTTTACAGCGATATCATAGCAGCGTAAATGTCCTTTAATAACAGTTAAGTTCATTTACCATAAGTATATCTATAGCTAGTTTACTAATTCCTTACTTGTTATACTGCTGTTAAAGTGCAATACTTATCTATCTACATTACTTTACATATATACACACATAGGTTATATATCACATTCTTCTTTGTGATTTCATAGGTCATTTTTACAAAACATTTTTACTCCACTTCTTTTTTAACCAGTTATACCATATATTCCATATTGTAAAATATTCTTCTTCTTCCCTGCTTTTTAATAACATAGTTAGTCTAATCATTTCTGTGCATTGATGTATCTTATTAATCACCGCTAGATCTGTGGGTGTTGTGGTCAGTTTCCAGTTTTGAGCTTGAGAGATTCTTGCAGCGGTTATAATGTGTAGTATTAGGTGTTGGTGCTTCTTATCCCATGTCGGTTCTAACATACCTAACAGAAAAATCTCTGGTTTGAATTTGATCTTTTGTTTTGTTAACTCCTCTAACCATGCTCAAATTTTGAGCCAATACTTTCGTACTTGGGGACACGTCCACCACATGTGAAAATACGTTCCCTGGCTGTGGTTGCCCTTCCAACATTTGGCTGAAAGGTTGGTCCACAAGCATTTCTAATGGTGTCTAGGATGATCTAAAAATCATCAATGCAATAAAGATACTATTCTCAAGCTAATAAGGACATAACACATTTATCAAACTCTCTAGGAAAATGGCTTGTTGTCTGTAAACAAAAGAATGATACAGAACAGTATGATGTTAATAGCAGCTGGATGCATCCCAAGAAATGGCTCAGGTGGCTGATACCAAGGAAAGTTGTTATGGATATGGAGGCACTACAAGGCTCTGGGTCTGAAGAAATGCATCATACACTTGGAGAAAACTTCTGCTGCTGCATGAAGAGCATATATGTATCCAAAGGAAATATTACTAATAATCTCTCCAATTCACTGGAGTTTTACTATGTATAAGGGTTGGCTTCATGCTTGGAGTGTTCAATATACAGGTGAAACTCAAAAAATTAGAATATCGTGCAAAAGTTCATTTATTTCAGTAATGCAACTTAAAAGGTGAACCTAATATATGAGATAGACTCATTACATGCAAAGCAAGATAGTTCAAGCCGTGATTTGTCATAATTGTAATGATTATGGCTTACAACTCATGAAAACCCCAAATCCACAATCCCAGAATATGAGAATATTGTGAAAAGGTTCAATATTCTAGGCTCAAAGTGTCCCACTCTAATCAGCTAATTAAGCCATAACACCTACAAAGAGTTCCTGAGACTTTAAATGGTCTCTCAGTCTGGTTCAGTAGGAATCACAATCATGGGAAAGATTGCTGACCTGACAGTTGTGCAGAAAACCATCATTGACACCCTCCATAAGGAGGGAAAGCCTCAACAGGTAATTGCAAAAGAAGTTGGATGTTCCCAAAGTGCCGTATCAAAGCACATTAATAGAAAGTTATGTGGAAGGGAAAAGTGTGGAAGAAAAAGGTGCACAAGCAGCAGGGATGACGGCAGTCTGGAGAGGATTGTCAGGAAAAGGCCATTTAAAAGTGTTGGGGACTTTCACAAGGAGTGGACTGAGGCTGGAGTCAGTGTGATCAAGAGCTTGAATTCCAGTGTAAAGTTTCCACAGTCTGTGTTGATTTGGGGAGCCATGTCATCTGCTGGTGTTGGTCCACTGTGCTTCATTAAGTCCAGGGTCAACGCAGCCATTTACCAGGAGATTTTGGAGCACTTCATGCTTCCTTCTGCAGACGAGCTTTATGGGGATGCTGACTTCATTTTCCAGCAGGACTGGGCATCTGCCCACACTGCCAAAAGCACCAAAACCTGGTTCAATGACCGTGGGATTACTGTGCTTGATTGGCCAGCAAACTCGCCTGACCTGTACCCCATAGAGAATCTATGGGGCATTGCCAAAAGAAAGACGAGAGACATGAGACCGAACAATGCAGAAGAGCTGAAGGCTGCTATTGAAGTATCCTGGTCTTCCATAACACCTCAGCAGTATCACAAGCTGATAGCTTCCATGCCACACCGCATTGAGGCAGTAATTGCTGCAAAAGGGGCCCAATATGTACTGAGTACATATGCATCCTTATACTTTTCAGAGGTCCAATATTGTTCTATGTACAATCCTTGTTTTATTGATTGCATGTAATATTCTAATTTTCTGAGATTGTGGATTTTGGGTTTTCATGAGCTGTAAACCATAATCATCACAATTATGACAAATCACGACTTGAACTATCTTGCTTTGCATGTAATGAGTCTATCTCATATATTAGGTTCACCTTTTAAGTTGCATTACTGAAATAAATGAACTTTTGCATGATATTCTAATTTTTTGAGTTTCACCTGTAGTATCTCCTTCTAATGACCAAGCAGTGCTGGAGTGCTCGTTGTACAGGAAAGGGAAGGTAGAAAAAGGGAAAGTCACAATATAATTGTGAGATTTCCTTATGGTTGAAACAGCCAACCAGTGGAATAGCTTGCCTTCAGAAATTGTGGGTGCTCCACCACTGGAGATTTTAAAGAAGAGATTGGACAACCACTGTCTAAAATAGTATAGGGTCTCCTGCTCAACCAGGAGGTTTGACTAGAAGACCTCCAAGGTCCCTTCCAGTTCTGTTACTCTATGTTCTAATTTGGTGAATAATATAATCCATTCCCTGCCTGTATGGTTTTAGAAAGAGACATTTTTCCTTTAAAAAAAAAACCCCCACTCATCCCTAGAACAGACCATGTAATAGAATACTTTATAGAGAGTAGAATACTTTATTGGCCAAGTGTGATTGAACAGACAAGGAATTTGTCTTGGTGTAAATACTCTCAGTATACATAAAGAAAAGGTACATTCATTAAGAATCAAGAATCATAACGTACAACACTTAATGATAGTCATAGGGTATAATCAACAATCAAATCACAAACAGTCAATATAAATCGTAAGGATACAAGCAACAAAGTTACAGTCCTACAATCACAAGTGGGAGAAGATGGGTGATAAGGAGTGATGAGAAGATTAACAGTAATAGTAGTGTACACTTTGTAAATAGTTGAACAGTGTTGAGGGAATTATTTGTTTAGCAGAGTGATGGCTTTCGGGCAAAAACTGTTCTTGTGTCTGGTTGTTCTGGTGTGTAGTGCTCTATAGCGTCATTTTGAGGGAAGGAGTTGAAACAGTTTATGTCCGGTCTTTATCAACATTTTGCATAGCTTGGAAATTTATTCATTTCCCATCTTTAGTAAACAGTCTACCAAAGTATACAAATTCATCTACTTGTCCTTGTATTTTGCTCTTCATATATAACATGCATTTGTTCACTCCCTGTTCTTATGTATCATAGTAAATACATGGTAAAATTACCAAAGAAACCAAACCTAGGTAACTATTTGCCTCTGGAATTTTTCATCTTTGGAAAAGTAAGATGCACTCAAGTGAATTTTATCAGGAACTGTGGACTATGGACAATTTTCCTAGATAACATGCATCATCTTACAGAGGCATGTTTCTCCAAAGAATAAAACAAAATTCAATCTATTGGAATTGTCTGATCTGTTTCATTCACACACAGATGCCAGGAAGGCAGGTAGTCTTCCTTTAACAATGCTAATTGGAACCAGAAATTCTGTTATTAAACAATGCAGTCATAATACGGTATAGCCTAGACCCCTTAGTGATAGCAGTTACAGAAATCCTACTTGCCATCATTAAGCAAGGAGCACACGTAACCATGACTTCCAACTTCCTGATGGCTTTCCCATTGACATTGTTTGTGGGAAGCTGAAAGGGAAGATCATGTGACCTGAGAACACTGTGAGAGCCATAAATAGACTGAGGGAGAGGGGTAGTTCACAAAAGAGAGAGAGAGAGAGAGAGAGGAGGAGGAGGAGGAGGAGGAGAGAAGGAGGGAGGATAGATTTGGTCATAAGTACCACTCATTCAGTGATAGAAGGGTCATTAAATGAGGACCACCTGTAATACTGAGTAAGCTGGCATCATGAAGTTTCTACCAACTTTTCACATTCCTAAAAAGAAATAGAGCTACTGTAATGGTATGTGGGAATGACCTTGGGAGACATAAGGAATATTAGACAACCATTATGCAGGAACTATATCAGCCCATAGGACAAGAAATGGGACAGAGGAAGCATTTCAGATGGGACTCTCTCTAGTTTTCTGGAACATGAAAATTAAAGGAGACTTGCAAGATTGTTGCTGTATCTTACAATAAACGTACTGTTAGTACTCATAGTTTGTGCTTCATGTCAGGACTATCTTGAAGGACTGACAGGTAGCTCCACTGTGTATTTAATCTGGGAATATTATTGAAGATAATGTGAAATTTAAAAAACAGCAACAAACCGGAATGGGAACATGAATGACATGTTCACTGTCTTCTTCCCTGTAAAACGTAAAAGTAGAATTATTGTCACAACTCTTATTAACTTCTAGAAGCATAGTTATCTCTATGTAAAAGGCAGCTCTCAACATTCTGTCATTCTTGTGTGACCTAGAAATGGAATCCAAGTGTGGCTATGCAACCCAGGTCCTGTCATCACCTATCCATCTCCTGGCTGAGCCATTAGCTTTTCTTTCTAAGGCTTATTACCTGACAGCACTATGGCTTCCTTGCTCTAGCCCTAGGTCAGCCTTTCCCAAACTGGATGCCTTTTAGAAGTATGGACTTAGATTCCAGGATTCCCTAGCCAGAATAGTTAGTTAGTGCTAAGGATTTGGGAATGTAAAATCCACACATCAAGAAAATGCTTAGATCAACATTTTGTGTAATAGGAGAGATTTGGACACTGTTGCTTGGTGTAGAAACCATATCACCCAAGTCTTCACTTTGTGCCTGAGCGCTCTGTGTAAGAGAGAGGATTTGAATAGTCTTCCATTTGCTAATTTTAGTGTCAGCAACATTCCTGGTTGACCATATTTGCTGTCTTTTTAAGCACCGCTGTTGTCTTCTCAACTTTGCTAGTGAACATGCAGGGCATCCCAGCTACTGCACTGGCCATGAACTGAAGAACTATCTTGCACAACAACTTCCTTTGTTCTAAGATCCAGTCTTTGTTTGGTATACTTTACAAGAAAATAGTTTTGAAAAAGAATATCATATAAAAGATATAATATAAAATATAAAAGAGCAGCAGTCCCAGAGGTGGTATTCAGCAAGTTCTGACCAGTTTTGGAAAACAGGTAGCGGAAATTTTGAGTAGTTCGGAGAACTGGGAAATACCCTCTCTGACTGGCCCTGCCCCCATCTATTCTCTGCCTCCAGAGTCCCAACTGATTGGCTGGGTCTTCTTTTGTTGTCCTGCACAGGAGAACGGAGCTGGAAAGCAGGTCAGTGAGGTAGGAAGGACATGGGATTTTGCAGTAACCTTCCCCCAGGAATGGGGAGGGAATGGGGATTTTGCAGTAACCTTCTCCTGCCAAGCCCACCAGCCACACCCACCAAGCCACACCCACAGAACTGGTGGTAAAAATGTTGAATCCCACCCCCAACCTTTTGGGCATCAGGGACCAGTTCCATAGAGAGAATTTTTTTCTGTGGAATCGGACGGGGCATGGTTTCGCATGCTGCCTGCCTCCCACAAATGGGGCTTCGCTTGTTTATGCAGCCCGGTTTCTGGCCTGCCATGGCCCAGTGCTGGTCCATGGACCGGGGAGTTGGAGACCCCTGTTACAGAGGATTTAAATCAATCTTCCCTAGTTTAGTGCTCTCCATGGGTGATATTCAGTTTCTATAATTTTCATCCAGTTGGCCAACTATCTAAGTTATCTAAACTTTACAAGTAATATCTCACACTGTTTTTTGAGGGGAGGGGGGAAAAGCATCCTTACCGCATGTTTCTCAGCATCCCAAATTTGAAACCTCTAAAGAAGGTTTGTGTCACTGACAGCAATGATCATGACATACTCCAGCAGTGTGTAGGAATGGCATGAAGCATCACAATGGCACCTCCATCTCCATGACATCTCTTTGCTTCATTCTTAAGCAGCCTTAACTACAGAGAAAATCAGCTCACAAGATTACACCAGGCTCTCCTTGTTTAAACTGATCATTAAGCAAAGTTAGTTGTATAATTCCTTTCTGAATAGCTGTACTACAGATAGCATGGTGCTGCAAGGATGCACGCAAAGAACTGAGCTGCATCTTTATAACTCCTGAGGTAGCAGGAGCTAAGGGGAACAATCCCATCCCCCATCCATTGTTAGTAGTAGGTAGTAGTAGGAAGAGATGCAGAATAAGGGCTGGTAGAGGAGGGTACTATTCGATTTTATCACATAGTTTTAGGGCTGTTATTTAAATGTATATGTAATTTATTCCATTAGTTTTGTTAATATGTATATGTACACACACACACACACACACACACACATCACACTGGCCTATTGCTTAGGAAGCATCTATAATGATCCATCATACAAACATATATACATCCGTACTCTATTTACTCAGAAATTTTCTTTGTCATTAGGTTTATGTTAAATTTAGTGTTATTGTACCCAATAAAGCACTCTGCTTCTCACAGTGGCCAGCTAGATGTCCCTAGAAATTCACAACTTGACTCAGAGGCACTAGGCTATTCTTTGATGTTGGTCTTCAACAATCCAATATCTCAATACACGGGGAAAAATCCATTTTGCTATCACAGCTATTCCATTACTCCTGCTAATATATTATATGCCATCCATCAACACATTTCTTGGACAGCTTACAATACAAGAAATGAAATACAGCATTAAAAGTCAAGATGCAGTCATAACTTTAAAAATCAAAACTATTAACATTTAGCAACAGAAAGGTTACTTGACAAAGGGTCCATTGTGAAAATAAAGCATCACTTACGGACTCAGAATCAAATTCTATATGCATAAATCAGTGGTGATTTAAATGCCTTGATGACTTTTTTTAAAAAAGGCTTTAGCCAGTGCTAAAATTAGTATCAGACAAACTTCTTTGGGAAATGATTCTGCATCAGCATGCTATTTTAATGATATCACTCAACAGAATCATCCTCTAGGAAAGTGTATAATCTTACTATACAAACTACAATCCATCGATATTTGTGAGGATGATGACTAGATATTTCACTGACATAAGTTTTCCACCTTATTTTTGGCAGTCAGCATTCTCTAAAAGATGCACCATAGATGATTAGAGTGTGTTTGGATTGAGGCTACAAGTAAATCACATAAATAATTGATTTTACCTGTATTTCCCTAACTAGGAATAACCCTCTTCCAAAAAAAGTCCTCACTCTTTCTCCACGAATTCCTTTCTATTTACATAACATATGTGTGAACATTATCTCTTACTGTCATTAGAATAGTTTTTCCCTTGAAATAAAGATAGAGAATTGTAAGCTTGAAGAACAAACTCATGCTGCAAAATTGATAAATAAAGTTCAATAGGAGGTATATTCTGGGTTCTGGGCTCAGTAGTACCAGATCTGGCTTCCCAGCAAATCCCAGCAACCACTGGATAGTTTTCCATATTCATCATTTGCTGCCATCTAATATTCATAAGGATTTTAGTAGCCCAGATCTGATAATCCTACATGAATTCAATGGTTTCTATGTTCACCAAACAACCCCAACACACCTTGTGGATGAAGTCCTGAAATGCCAGGGGACAATATATTCTGTTCGCTGAAAAAAATCTGGACCACATCTAGACACAATTTAAGCAGACACTAAATCACTCAAGAGATCATCCCAAAGATCTCTCTTCCAGGCCAATTTGTGCTTAATCTTTAGACAGAATTAGGGAAAATATCTTTCAAGCGCCAGGGAAATCAGGAGATCCAGGTAATTCAAATGGCTAACAAGATTTATTGCAAGTTTAAGCTCCCTACAAGAATCTGAAGTACTAATGGTCAAAGCAATTTGGCGGTACATAAGGAATTCAAGGTGGGCTGGACTTAGATCTCTTGTGGGTGTGAAGGGACTCATGACTGATGACACATTTGACCCTTCCTTTGGGCTCAGTCTGGTCATCTCTTGCAATATCACAGCTCAATAGTTAATGTATATTTGTTGTTTTCAGAAAGTTCCAGATTCACCACTAGTATTTCAAAGGACCATATAAAGGCCTTGGGGCAAGATGGGTGGCAATCAAATTTAATAAATAAAATAGAAATTAAAAAATAGAAATCATTTTCAATCTGCACATTGGCAAAACACATAGTATGCGGCACTGTTGTCTTAAAAGTAACTTGGGAAATAACTTGAGAAATTGTACCCCTTGATTCCCAGGTTAAGCCCTATCATTAAACAGAATGAAAAAGCTTCTTCAGGAGATAAAGCACAGAGAACAGCAGCCAAAGGTTATAGAATGTCATTCACTCAACCCTGGAGACCCTGTAACATTTTCTACAGCGTTTGTAAAGTACTTTATCTTGGCCAACAGTGTTAAAATAAGGTTGGCCTAAAGGGATATTAGTTAGGGGGCATAACATTTTGAATGTGAAATATAATGACAGTGAAACATTCTGTTTATTTGGGGTTGTTTTGCAGGATGATTGGAACAAATCGTTTCAGACTCTGTTCACCATTCTATGGATTATTTGATCGTTGGTCTTTCGAAAGAAGTTTTGTATCCAAAAGTTTTATTACCCAAAGTTTATTTGGCATAGCTGTTTGGAATCACCCATTTCTTACCCTCTATCTCTGTGCCTCTCAATTTCAGCAGCTTTAAGATTGATGGACTCCAACTCCCAGAATTCTCCTCAAAATTAGTGATGGGTCATTTATACTGTATTATTTTCCTTTTTCTTGAACACATTTTCCCTTTTGAAAGAAAAGATGGTTCAGTGAGCATTTGCTGAAATCAAACTTGCTTAGATTATTACCCTTTAAATCCATTTTCATAGATAGCAATAGCACTTAGACTTATATACCACTTTACAGTGATTTACAGCCCTCTCTAAGCGGTTTACAGAGCCAGCGTATTGCCCTCAACAATCTGGGCCCTCATTTTACCCACCTGGGAAGGATGGAAGTCTGAGTCAACTTTGAGCCTGATGAGATTTGAACTGCCAAATTGCAGGCTGCCAGCAGGCTGCAGAAGTAGCCACTGCGCCACCACGGCTCATTATCCTAACCAAACTATCTGCTTTGTTCCTAGTAAATTAACCACTCCTGGTCATTCTTCAGATCTTAAACTTTATCTATAAGTTATCCTTGGGTAGAAAAGCTGTTTTAGACTAATATAGCCTTCCACCCAATTTCCTCTCCTCCAATTTCTTGACAATTGGAAAGCATTGGACCCTGGCCCTCTCAGGTTTATAGCCTTTCCCAGAGGAATCCAGTTCAGAGAAGGCACTCTGATTTAAGATTCCTTATGTGACAGGTTCTATTTATCAAATCATCAGAGATGCTACCATTATGAAAGCCTTATCCCAGAGCATGGGCCATTTAACTTTTGAAGGTAAAGGAACCTGGATATATGTAGTTTGAGAATTGTTTTCCTATTATTGCAT